GTTTTTGGAAAAATCAAAACATTAAGAATAGGGCTAAAATTAATCAACAAAGAAGTGCAGCTTTAAATTCTCTTATCAAAAGCAGAAAACGAAATCAAAATTCCCAAAGGTTATATTAAGGAGTTAGAAATCTTTTGATGATTCCCCTCGTTCATCTGGTTTACAATCTGCTTCAATTGCATCCGTCATTAGAGAAAAAGATCAAGTATTAAAAGTAAAATACATTTCATTAGAAAAGCAATTATTTAAAAAAGAAGAGAAAGACTTTTAGAACAATTAGAATTTGCCCAAGATCTTCAATCCGAAAATCACAATACTAAATCAGAGATTACAATTCTTCAAGATAAATTCAGTAAAGAATCTTTCAACATTGGCCATGATACTCTAGTTGGTGTATCAAAAGTTTCACCGAGTTCTCGTACTGATAGGGGGGATCCATCAGCATAGGTTTCTAAGAAAACTGATGAATTCGAAGAGAAAGCAGAACAAATAAGTCCATTAAAAGCGGTAGCATCAAATTAATCAAAAATCTAATGTTGGTATTTCAAATGCAGATGCTAATAGTTCACCAATCATCTCATTGAATACTTCAGAAGAAATCAATGGTTATAGAATCAAAGAGATTGAACATGTATTTGAAAGTTATAGAATTGCAAAAGAGAGAGAATTTAGCAATGGAAAAAGATTTAAAAACCAAACAGTTTATAGAAAGTCAAATAAATAGCAGTAGATCCAAGAAATCTCGATGACGAGCTTACAACTGAAATGATGATACAGGTTGAACAACTTAGAAAATTAGAAAACACAGCATTAAATTCCAAATAGCTCATCATCAATTTGGAACTCATTATTTAAAAAAAAATCACCATCATCAAATAATTTAAAATCACAAACACCATTTAATAAAATAACAACACTTCACCATTGGTACCTCCACAACATTTACCAATACCAATTTGGATATAAAATATCTCTGCAGTTCTACCAACCTCACTTACCAAACCATCTTCTAGAGAACAGAACTAATAAATTCAATAAACTAAAATAAAAAAAATAAAATAATATAAATAATAATATAAATTAAATATAATTTTTTTTATAAGTGATATTTTTTTTTTTCACAGATAAAATATACTCGAATCAGTTTTAGGTAAAATATATGTAAATATAATTTATTTTTAGGGTAAATTTAACAGCATCTTCTACGACGATGACCAATATCAATATCAATATTAATAATGTTACTGTTACCACTGCATGGATTAAAACATGAATTGAAACCACATAAACTGCCACCTAAGCTATTATTGAACCAAACCGATTCATTATCAGAGAATGAGACACTTCCAGATGAGCTTAAAATTGATTTAGATGAGACACCGTTAACTGGGTTCATTGATGAAATAGATTCTATGAAAAATTAAATAAAATAAAATAAAAACAAAAAAAAAAAAATAAATGTTAATATTTATATTTTTAAAATTTAAATATAGCTTTATTAATATTTACTAATAATTGACATTTTATAATATAGTTTTTTTATTTTTTTAATATATAGTTTGTTTTTAATTGAAATGAAAATTAAATTTTTTTTTTTTTTTTTTATATTTTGGTAAATTTGTGAAAGATAATTCACCCAAAGAAATTACTTATAACAAGTTGAATTTAATAAAAATTAAACAACCAAATAAATTAAATTTTTACGTCAAAGCATTATTAGTATTTAAATAATAATAATAATAATAATAATAATTTTTTTATTTTATTTAATTTTTTTTATTTTTTATTTAATTTTTTATTTATTTTTTATAATTAATTTAAAAATATTATTTGTATAATTTAATTGAATAATTATAGTTTCTTTAGAATGAATATTAAAATAAATATTTATAGTTATTATACTTTACTTAAAGTGGTCTTTTAGATTATAAATTTAATTATAAAAACTATTATTATAAAATCTATAGTGGCTATATTAGTTTAAAATTATTATTATTTTAATTTTTAATAATGATGTTCGCAATTTCTTATTCCTTTATTAAAATTTGGTGAGTGTGGTAAATTTCATTTTTTTTAAATTAAATTTTTTTTTTTTTTTTTATTAAAAATTTTTTTTTTTGTGGTGTGTGGGGGAAAATTTTTTTTTTTTTTTCATTTTTATTTTCGTTTTATCAATATACATTTATTTTATTTTTTATAATTGCCAAGCGAACAAACAAACAGGTAATTATATATATATATATAATATGTGATAAAAATAAATACTAATTTTATTTTTTTTTTTATTCCTCAGCATTCATTGTTTTGGTCCTCAGCATTATCCTCTTCAGCATTCATCTTGGTCCTCATCATCATCATCATGAGCATCCTCACCGGCATTCGTCTTGGTCCTCAGCGTTATCATCGTCAGCATTCATATTGGTCCTCATCATCATTAGCATTCATCTTGGTCCTCATCATCATCATGAGCATCCTCACCGGCATTCGTCTTGGTCCTCAACATTATCACCATCAGCATTCATCTTGGTCCTCATCATCATTCATCTTGTTCCTCATCAGCTTCCACACCGGCATTCATTTTGGTCATCATCAGCATCCTCACCGGCATTCGTTTTGGTCCTCAGCATTATCGTCATTAGCAGCATTCATCAGCAGCATTTATCAGCAGCATTCATCGTCAGCATTCATCTTGGTCCTCATCATCATTGGCATTCATCTTGGTCCTCCTCATCATCATCATGAGCATCCTCACCGGCATTCATCTTGGTCCTCATCATCATCAGCATCAGCTTTCATAAGCAGCAGCATCATCAACCCTAAAACTTTAGAAAAGAACTTTTAGTAAATCAATAATAATCAATAATTTTATAAAAAAAAAAAAAAAAAAAAAAAAAGAAAAAAAGAAAAAAAAAAATAATAATAATAGAATCAAACATTCACATATTTCAATCTATTTGATGGAAGAAATACATTTTCCCTGGCCAGGCAAATATATTGGAACATCAAATGATTTTAATATCGAA